CTTTCTGCATGCTTCTGTGCCCAAACTGATAGTAAAAAGATTAGCAACCTACCTCGGCTTCAATGACCCCTATATCTAAGATCCTGCCACAAAGAAGAAGGAGTCAACCTATTCTCCAAAGCTCCTGAAACACCTGACCATTTGTAGTCCTACTTGATTCTTTTGGCTCGTCTATATCCCTGGCAAGACAAGAAGCAATGGATGGAATCTGACCAAGGAGAGAAGCAATTACCTCCCATAGACCGATTAGATCACACAAGTTAGGTCTCCTCCGGATTCCATCTGCCAGCCAATGCCGGCTGGCGACTCCCCGGGGGAGAGCCTTCTCTGTTGCAGCTCCAGCCCTCTGAAATGATCTCCCCGTGGAGATCCGGACCCTTACTACCCTCCCGGCCTTCCGCAAAGCCACCAAGTCCTGGCTGTTCCAGCAGGCTGGGGGGAAGCTGAGAAGCATCTACCTCCATGGAAATTGTGAATGTTGGTTTTGTTTTTAATATGTTGTCTTTGTCTCGTTCCCCTCTTTCCCTTGTCTTTTGTGAGTCCTCCGGGAGTGGGCGGCATACAAGACAAATAAATAAATAAAATAAATAAATAAATAAACTTATTTGAGGAAGTTCGCTAATTTTGGTTGATTAAGTTAGTTTCAGCCTGACTGTCAATTATGTAGTGGAGACACTGATTCCCAGACCATTGTGGGTTCTGTTAATATTTTGAGGGGAAGAGAGAAACAGCATAAAGAATAAAATGTATTTGGATATAAAACTTCTCAGAGTATTATCCAAGAAGGAATATTCTTGGACCCTTTGTTAATGTTTAAACATTTATACATTACTTAAAACTGTCTGTACATGTAACCTTGTGTGGGCAAAATGGTGCATCGTAGGGCAAAACCTTTTGAATCACGATACTTCAAATGGGTTAATGTTTAGAATGTGTCTGAAATACAGGACCATGACTCCTGTGGAATGGAAATTTGGCAAATTTTATTAAATGTTATGATATAAAATTATCATAAATCATTTTATGACATAAACATTTATAATATTATAAAATGTATAAAACTGCACCGTACAGTACAATATGGGCTACTTTTAAAGCAGATACACTTCTAAATACAGTATCCCCCTGAATTTTTAAGAACTTTTCAAGTACATTAGAAGCTGTGCCACTGTTAAAGACATGGAAGAATCTGGTAAGGAAATATCTCTGAAATAATGATTCAACCAGTCCCAGGTTTTCTAGTGTTTGTTAATGTTAAAATCTAAAGGTTGATCTTTGTCTCATGGTGTAAAACTGGGGTAGATAATTCATGATTTGTATAATGTCCTTGTGTGGTCGCCCTGAGTCCCCTCAGGGAAAAGGGCGGCATATAAATCCCAATAAACCTGAAACCTGAACCTGAAACCTGGTCTCTAGATGCACCTTTAATTGAGTGGCCCAAATGTTAAGTAACATTTTCCCCAGCATTAAAAGCCCAGTTTTCCCTCTCCCAGCTCCGATGGTTAAACTATTTAGTTTTTTATTTTCCCCCAGGCATTATTGTTATTTTTAGTATAACAGTACTAATGCAATTTGAAGCTTTATTTGAAGTGTTCAAACTATATCATATGTATTGCTGAGTGGCCATTCTTACTTTCATTTCCACTTGTTATCTTTAAATGAGGTCCATTAACCCAAATGCCATATAACAGCACCAAATTTCTGTTTTCATTCTTTGTTCAGGTTATAATCATTGGAAGGGACATGTATTAAATTCAAATGAACTTCATGAACTGTATGAAGGACTGAAACTGAACAATGTGAATCATTACGACTATGTACTTACTGGTAAAGTATCTACTGCTTTGTTTTTTGTAACAATTTAGTTACAATGAATAAAAAATTAGAAAGATTTCAGCCGGAATAAAATTGATCAACCTTATTATACATTAACATTTAAGTGGGATAAAAGCAAAAGGGTCCCTTATCTAGAGAGGAAGTGCATGATCATAAATAACTGTAACGGTACACTTTCTCTCTATGGATCGTTAATCTGATTTTACCTCCTTGCAAAAAGTACAATAGTTTTTAATTTCCTTTTTATTCATGTTCCTTTCTGTACTGACTAGTTGAAACTTGCTAGATTAAGCTGATTTATATATTGATTTATGTAACTTCTACAAGATAAAGGATGTTTTTAAACGTATAGATAACAGGAAAATGTAATTATGTGAGTCTGGATCCATAACCCATAAAGATTGCCATGAAGGGCATTGCACAATTGACATTTTTTCCTTCTTTGGTTTCCATGACATTTTTGGATATAAATGAATGAGACTGCCCTGTTTTCTGTGGTAGAAATGAATTTTCAGTATAAACAAACCTTTTATTTAGGAGATGTTTCTGTTATTTTCCTTGAGGAAAATGTAAGTGAGCAAAATATAAGAATAACTGCACAGGAATTTTGCAAGGTGACTGTTTTTATTTCCTGTAGCTAGCCAGCTAAAGAATTTCTTAAGCTTTCCAAATACAACAACTCTCTAGCAGGGGTCAGTGGTGGAATGAAGCTCTCTGGAGCCCTAAGCATTGACAAATCTTGGTGCCCCCCCCCCTAGCTTTATTGGGGTTTTTTTCTTTCTCAACTTTGTGATGCCCCCTTGGGCCTGGTGCTCTAAGCACGTGCTTAGTCTGCTTAATGGTTAATACACCACTGGCTGGGGCTGATAAGCATTAAAGTCCCACAGTATAGGGAAGAGCCACAGAAGGTTCTTTAGCATTTAAGAATTTCCCTACCTTAATAAAATTTAAAGAATACCCTACCTTACAAAGTTACATGTTTTTTAATTTTATCAAGATTTTTTACCTCCAATTGTTGATTTGACTTTCTTGAAAATATGTATCATTTCAGGACAATTTGAAAATAGCCTTTATTTTTTGGTTACTATGTGCAATTGGATTGTTTTGGTAGATGATCTTAATGAAGCAAAACAATTCAAAAATTAATACTTAGGTTCAGTTAATATAATATATCCTCAATGTATATTCAATACCTATATTGAGTTCTTAAGTGAACTCAATATATGTATCGCAGAACAGATATGTAATTGCATCCATATGAACTTATTGCACTTGTACATTAATTCTGGTGGGACTGGGATAAAAATAGTGCATCCACCCTAGCTTTCATTACCATAAATCATAGTGTATTTCTAGACTGATTTCAACACTTAAAAATAGAGGTACAACGTTACATTGATTCCTGTCCTTCCTTCATGGCTATAGCTATTCCATAATTTGAGTGGGGGGAGATGATCCAGCCCAACATCCTTCCATTATGGTGGTCCCCAGGTTCTAGTGCTCTTATTTAACATTTACATGAAATCACACAGTGAGATAATTAGTCAGTATAAGATCAGATATCAATATGCTAATGATACTTAGTTATGGACCTGACCTATGGAACTGGATCCTTAATTGACCAAGTGATATCGTCTAGATCCGTGATGTTGAACCTATGGCATGTGTGTCACAGGTGGCACGTGGAGCCAATTCTGTGGGCAGGTGAGCCATTGCACTATGTCAGCTCCAGCACACATGTGTGTGTCAGTCAGCTGATTTTATGCCTCTCTGGAAGTCCGGGGGAGGCCACTTTCGCCTCCGGAGCTTGGGGAGGGCTAAAAACGGAAGTTCCAGAAGGCCCGCTTTTTCACCCTCCCCAGGCTCCGGAGGTTTTCCTCGCGCCGAAAATGGCCTCCCCCGGACCTCAGGGGCCCTCCAGAAGCCAGAAACAGTCCATTTCTGAACTTCCTATAGGCCCGGAAGTTCCATTTTTTGCCCTCCCCAAGCTTCAGAAACTTTCCTCAAGCCTCTGGGAGATCGAAAATGGCCTCCCCCGGGCTCCGGAGCCCTCCCTGAAGCCTCCTGGTGCCAAAAACGGAGTGCATTTCTGGCCTCCGAAGAGGTTTCGGAGCCCAGGGGAGGCCATTTTCGCCCTCCCGGAGGCTCCAGTAAAACTCCCCCCTCAGGGGGGGGGTCAAGCATGCATGCATGGGGGGTTGTGTGTGCATGTGTAGGTGGGGGAGCACATTGCATTGTGGGTGTGGGACATAAAGGTTCACCATCATTGGTCTAGGTTTCCCAGTGTCAGGAGTTTGTGGGGGTCTGAATGGGAAATAATAGTTTTTAGCTCAGACCTAGCAAGGAGAGTGGTTGTGGGTTTTGGGACCTGGAAATTATTCACCTTTGCTTCTAGATGAAGTTTACACTTCCCAAAACAAAAATAGTTCAGGAAGGCTTTGGCTTCAAGCTAGAAACTGGGACTCCAGGCAAATATCTAGCAAGAACTTGCATTGCTCACTTCAACCAGTTTGTTCCTCCACCATCTTACCTCTAATGTTGCCCTTCTCTAGATTAGTTGTCTTCCGCTCAGAATCACAGCAAAAAACCAAAGCTATAGAATATTTGCATATTTATTCATGTACAATACTGAAAGGAATATATTATTGGAATCATGAAATGCTACTAGCCTACAACTCTTTTCCTTTTTTCCTTGATTGTATTATGTACATACTGAAACAACCACTATTCATTATTGAATAGTTCAGATTTTGCCTCGCATTATCAGCTCTTAGGCTGGTAAATTGAAAATGAAGTCTGCACAGTGCACAATATTTTAAATATGTTCCTTGTATCTTATCTAATACAAATAGAATAAAAATAAAATCTTTTTATAAAAATAAAGAATAGCCACTTCTCCCTATTTCATATAGTAAATTGTATTGTAGTTCTCACCAGTCTTTCTTATAATGTATTTTGTAGATGCATACTTAATTTGAATTAAAGAGGAATCTATTTTAATATATTTTCCCAATATAGCCATGGATAATTTGTCGTGTGTTTCTGTATTGGTTCATTGTATACACAAGTATCATGGACTTTATCTGAAAACAAAGTAAAACATATTGGTTGATAGTGGGAAAATTTGTGGGTAAATAATTAGCCACAATCCTAAACTCTCAAAGATTATCACTAGCCATGTTAACTAAACTCAAAGCAATAGTTAACTATAAGTAAAAGGTATAAAGGTCATCCTGCTATATATGCTTTGGTTTAATGCAACATTTGTGTTTAATTTAGCTAAGGCAGAAAAAGCTGGTCACATCTACTTTATTCAGAACAAGGGTAAAACAATCTTACCACTAAAAGGGTAGGGGAAGAATCCAAAAGAAGATTCCCAAAGTTCTGGTAGAGTGAAAAAAAGAAGACCTTTTTTTCTTAATCACTTCCATTTGAAAGATTGCCATTTGGAAGAAAACAGCCTGTACAATACAAATATGAAGCATTACCCCTCTTTTCCAGGACAGAGGAGGACTTTCAATCCTATTAATTTACAGCTTCTCTAAGCATATCCCTGGTGTTCTTATTTTGCTGTCTCTGATCCTGGAAAGGCAACCATGGTGCACAGAGGGGGCTTGAAAAGCTGGATCTCATTCAAAAAAGGCAGACTTGTTTTTCCATCCCTTTCCTGAATTTGCAGCGCCACTCTTTACCTTGCAGTATGTCTCATTGTGGTTAGCAGAATTTAATACTAGGTAGGTCATTATCAATATATTTAATCCAGCTTTTAGAGTCACCGTTGAATATGCTATAAGTGACTACATACATTAAATCCTTAATTCTATTCTGTAAAGCTTAAGTGGAGAATAAGATTGAAAAGATTCAGATTCTATATAGTACTAGGTTAGTACACTCTAGCATAATCTAGTAAGTCATAAACCATGATTTACAAACTACAGGTAATTCCCAAGTTACGACAGTTCACTTAGCAACCGTGCAAAGTTGCGATATAACACCCCCCCACACTCCCCAAAGTACTTATGACATAGTCCAGAGGTTACAAATGTTCAGCACCATGGCAGTCATTTACCCTTACAAACGACCACAGAGGCACTGCAGCATTCACCTATTCCTGCTCCCTCCGCCGGGCTTCCATAGGCAAGCCTATGGAGACTCATTTATCATTTATCTTGTGAAGATCTAGTGAGCTTTCTCCTCTCCAGTCTCTCTGCCATGGTTTCTTTGTGTGCTCCCAGCGCTCCAAAAGTGGAGCAGGGAGAGCAGAACAAACGTGCTTGATTTCTCTGACTCACTGAGCTGCCTGCCACTTCTGGAGCATCGGGCAGCAGCAGTAAGTCTCCTCCAAAGGTTTCCATTCTCAATGTGGAAAAGCATTGGGATGCCAACAGGTGGCTTTGGGGCAGCAAAATTATATTTTTGCCACCTCAAAGCACCCCATCGGCACTCAAGCATTTTCGCCTGGAGACTGGAAGTTTCTGGGGCCATGATCTCACACGACTTCAGGCACCCATCCGCTTTTGCAGAGAAAGGGTTCCTGAAGGCCTGTGAGATAAAGGCACCCAGAAGCTTCCAGTCTGTGCGCGAAAAGTATGTGCATGCCAATGGGAGGCTTGAAGCAAGACAATTTCGCTACCCCAAGGTCTCCCATTGGTGTGTAAATGCTTTTCCACACCATGACTGGAAACCTTTGGAAGAGACTCAAGGAGGCTGCCTGCCGCTCCAGAAGTGGCAGGCAGCCTCAGTGAATCAGAGAAGCCGAGCAGGGCACGCTTGTCCTGTACTCCCTCTGCTCTCACTGCTTCGCTTTTGGAGCAGTAGGAGCAGGTAAAGAAACTGCAACAGAGAGGCTGGAGAGGAGACAGCTCACTAGATCTTTGCAAGGTAAGTGAGTCTTGGTGTCTCAGTAGGGGTGAGGGGAAGCAAACGTGAACAGCATGAGGTATCTCAGTGGGTTGGGGGAGGTCTTGGGTGGTCTTGAGCAGGTGCCTTGTTCTATCACTAGCCCCCCCCCCCATGGCCTTTCCCACCCTGAGATTCGTCAGGTGCACTTAACGACACACACATTTGAATAGTAATTGTGTGGGTGAAAGCTTGGAGTGATTGTGGTCAAATTATGTGTTTCCTATGAATCTTCGGGTTACAAATGTAATTGACAGGTTCTATTACATTCATAACTCGAGGACTAATTGTGTAATGGCTGAGAAACATTGCACTGTCAAAATCTAAACGCTGGGTTCATATATATTAGTCCCTATTTAAATGTCTTGTCTTTACCATTTGTTTACAGTTGTCTATTTTTTTAAGAAAAAGGTTAACTGATTTGTTTAACAATGGAAAGGAAACAGATATAAAAATCACACATAAATAATTAAGAGCACCTTGGTTTTTGAACTGAGAAAAAAACACCTTGGTTTTTTTGGTGAAAGCCAGACATCTTTGCCTTTGGTAAATTTTCTATTTTCCACACCTGGACTAACTGGGTGAATCAAGCTAAAAATAAATATATTATCGCTGGCACTATATTATTCACACAAACAAAGAAATCAGCATGATTCAGCTAATCCATACATAAGCTGGCCAAAAGGCTATTCTGCTCCTTGGGGCATAAGACTGTATTGGCTTTCCACCCAAAAAAAATGTACATGGGAGACTTGTTATGAACACACACACACACACACACCACACGTTAGTTTATTAATCTAGAAGTAGGAACAACATTGCACAGAAGGCTTGTCAAATACAACTATAGGACAAATCAAAGCATTGCTAAACTAAAGCCAGGCAATAGTTTCCCCAAATCTCAGAAAGTTTACGATGTTTCATAAAGGATCAATCATTGAGATGTTTACTGTGGACACAGACAACAGTTTGTCATACTATTACAAATCCTACGTAATATATATTGAAAGTTATACACCCTTCAATTTCTACAAAATATAAAATGTAAGGAATAAAAAGAGAAGGGAAAAATAGAGGAAGAGAAGTGCAAAGGAATAAAAGAAAATCGAAAAGCAATAGAAAAAGAGAAACTTCCAACTTTCTTCAATACAGTTACAAATTTAAAATAAGTTATTTTTTTTGTTTTAAAATTCAATTTGTTTTATTTTTTTAAAGACGTATATACCACTTCATAGGGCTTTCAGGCCTCTCTAAGAGGTTTACAGAGTCAGCATATTGCCCCCACAGTCTGGGTCCTCATTTCACCCGCCTCGGAAGGATGCAAGGCTGAGTCAACCTCAGCCGGTGAGATTAT